ATCAACCAAACAAGCTGCAATGCTTAACCTACTGCACACCTTGGGCTTCATGAAGTATAAGTTTCGTGCATTAATTTCCCAGCACATATGCAGTTAACACTCAATCTTAGGGACGAAACGACAGCACCAGGTTTGCTACCTCAGAACCTCGGGCGTAGCTACGTACTGCTCGGAGAAAATGGTCCATCTGGTGATGATTACCGCCGTAGGTTCTCGGCGTGAGTCTCAGTCAATGAACTAATGGATTCATTCGATTGTTCCTTAAGGTACGACACCTGTGGCGAAGAAGGAAACCATTATTAGCGGCTGATACAAGCAAGATCAGAAATTTTGTCGACCTGTTTCTTCTGGATTCGATTTTCGGAACACGACCGTGTGACTGCAAATACATAGTAATACTTCACTACGGCGAAGCAAAAATTCGTGTAAACTGGTAGAGATAGCCGAAGTTAATATAGGACAATCATCGGAGAATCTTCAGCTTGATAAAAGCTGTCAAATTTGCAATATAGAGTACGAGGAGGAAACACGTGATAGTGTCCCAAGAAATGCATTCCACTCGAAGTACGACAGAAGCTAACTTCTCGGGACCCTGAAAAACTATAGTGAAGCTTACACCAGTCGATGAATTCATGGTGATACACTAGTTCCTAAGGACCAAGAACTAGCCAACCTGTCAGTACATACGTTTTCTGCGATACATACCGCCTACGTTAGATGCGGGATAGATGCAACTGGCTAAACAGCAGAATTTTCAGGTGAATAGCATTTAAGTAAGCCCCATGGAAGATAAACCATTACTATGATCTCATCGAATGATGGAAGCAACCTGACTGGCGAAGCACAGCCCATCGTGCTAAAACAGCATACACGCGAGTATTTGTGCAGTAAATCTGCAAGAGCTCGTGGAAATATCTGGATCGAATGCTTGTATTTACGCTCCGGGACCCAGATTAATATAGAAATAAAACAAAGTTTTTGCATCCGGTGACATCTCGCCTTCAGTTGAAGTTGGCTTTTTGAAAGCAATTCAAAGCTTTTCTCAGGAGAAAACTTCAGCTGCATGACCAGCATGTCACGGCCAACCACTGACCAAGCTACTAATATGCCGTTCTGCGACAGATTCGGCGCTTGGGGCCCGAACAAATTTGTTTGAATATCAAACGCTTATATAACAGATTCAGAACTTCGAAAATCCTCTGTGTGTGGGCTTACCTTACAGTTTTCTGCAAGCTTTTGCTCGCCTTCTTATTCGGTTTTTCAGACAAAATAATATGACTTCTTCATAACTTCGGGTGCATATTTATGGATACCTTTCACTGACAAGTATGTAATGGGAAAAGCAAACATTTTCACTCCTGTAAGCTTATCCAGCTGTTTCTTCAAATTTGAATAAGTATCAAGCACACCGTAAGAAAAGCAAACATTTTCACTCCTGTAAGCTTATCCAGCTGTTTCTTCAAATTTGAATAAGTATCAAGCACTAACTACCGTAAACAGTGAAGTATCGGTGCTGAACACTGATGTCATGCTGTCGATGATGATGACGATGATGAGTTGAAAACACACAGAATGTCTTGTGGTAGACTGTTTGACCCAAAAATCCCTTTCCATTTATACTCTGCCACCTCACAGTTACAGCTAGCCTCGGAGTCAACGTGAGCACGAATTTGTTTACCATATGCTGGTTTACATCTTTTGTACTCAACGATATCCCAATTAAACACTAGTTTTAAGGGTTTCAGAGACTACAGTGCTACTTGTCCGGCTTTAATATTGCTAAAATTGTTAGTCGAACGCTTTTTCGTTCTTTTATCTTAGAGAAATTTTGCCTCAATGAAAGTCTATTAGTAAAGGCTGTGCAGTAAGTATTTTCTGCTGTTTTTACATGTTTCTTTTTCAGTATGAAAGCTCTATTGAAGATGGGCATAATGTTTACTGCTATTGACCCGGAAGATCAAACCATTTTGTTACATGTACTTTAACAGGCTAGAGCCGGTGGGATAAATCTTTTTGACAACGAAGGTAACGTGTGCAAGTCAGCAGTGACTTCCAAGAACCAAGACAATCACTAGTGGTATATCATATTTGGCTATTATAGCCCCCGAACTGTCCATAACACATGTAGTCTCGTTTACAGATCAACAGTGTGCAATTCGACTGTCATTTGTACGCGGTACATAGCTGTTCAGGAAGACAGATTCTGCAGTTAACCGGCTGTAGTACAGGAAAGCACTTACAGATTGAACAACTAATGCTGAGAAATAAAACCCCTTACTAAAAAGATGTGCCCAGAGTTAAAATAGCGAGTTATATCCGGGGGGTGCTGTGAGGTTGGTAGATCCTGAGGTTATATTATTTTATAAGAACTGGCTTCTGGGCCCCCCTTCGACTGCTCCACCGTTGAATGAAAATTTATGTTGGAACTGAGTTTCCAAATTGGTGGACACCGTTGTGACTTTCGCCCGTGATTTAGAGCCATTAGACTCGCTCAAGAGCCAGATATCAAACACATTGGTGATACCGCTTGAATATCACAGAATGTTTTTCACCGAGTTCGAATATAATTTGGTTCTAAGAATTATCGAGCTATAAGCAGAACTTGATGTGCTTAACCATCAAAGAGTATTTAAGTGAATCCATGTGACTTGTCGCCGGTGAGGTCCTTTGAGTGAAACTATCAAGGATGAATTGGCGCGACAAGCTGGATTGGAGATAAATGCTTTGAAAACAGTGATGATCAGTTTAAACAACATTGTTTCGGCCATCCGTCTTCGCGCGTTTTGGTCAAATAAATGAAATGGAGACCTGGAGCCCGGTAAACTAGGAACACCCCAGGGCCTTGCAGGTTTATGACTGCGTATATTATTCCAAGCGCTGCGTGTCTCCCGCTCCGGTTTCCTCCCACCCGTATTGTTGATAAATAGGAATGACACCCTGTGTTTGCGCTTGCCTGATCTACTTGTCTTCATTTAAGATGTAGTGCCATACAGCTTTAGAGAATAAATGACAGCGCCGAGTTTCAAAAAGTAGCCCCTGGCGAGTACAGTAATCACAGGAGAATCAGCTTGACCTCTGTTTCAAAGAGACTTTGGGCATCGCTTACCATTTTGTGCCCTAGAGTGGCCCATAAAACACTGAAACGAAAGCGGAATACAAAATTCATGCCTGGTAGGTTTGCATTGAACAAATCCTTGCACTCCGTCGGGACAGATGGTAGACCAACTTTATACGCACAAATAAACCACTTTTTATGTTTTCCAGAATTTGCAAAGCAAATTTAATTCTTTTGACTAGTCTGTTCTTCTAAGCACACTTGCCTAGCAAGGAACGCCCTAAAACTTGATGAACTTAATAAATTTATCGCATCTTGAGATCCCCGGGTGTGTGAAAATATAAGAGAAGCTCTCCCAAATACAAATCAAAGTCCGTCAACGGCGACAAATCTTCCCATTTCTAATTAATTTCTCGATAAAAGAGTTAAGGAGACAATATAAAAGGTCCTCAAACCCCTGGTGTTCAGAAATCTGCTGACAGAATTTCCGCTGATCGGGATTATGCAAGCGAAACCGCTTTTTCAAAGAAGCTAAGAAGGGGCAGTTCTTTCTAGATGAATTGTCAAAGCCATTTATTTTTCAGCACAAGCTTTGCGAGCAAAACTTAGGGTCATACTTCATGCACGTAGTCAGTAAACACGTCATTCACAAATCACGGAGAGGCACTGAAATTTATAGATTGTTTCAAGTATTTTGTAAGTTTTATCGGTATTACTTGTAGTAGGATAGATGGGAACAGTGCGCCAATCTCTAACCTGTGCGTGACTTGCGCTAATTTGGGACACCTAAAGAGCTAAAACGGATTTTCCTGAATCTCATTGGAGATGTTTATTAGTCCACAGTACGGATTGTTTGGTCGTATGGCTGTAAGACGAAGATTCATTGATCAGTAGAACTAAAACTTTTTCGGTTCTTTAGCGACTGCTAGATTCCTTCTCCCTTGTGCAGACTCGGTGTAAAAACGATACACTGCAGTAGCTGAGAATCATCCGATGCCCAAATCTGACCCGTCGAAAACAATAATGTATTTCATATGAGTCTTTGATTGTTTAATTGGCTTGTCCTCCTACTGCACTGGCACAAGCACACGCCCATCTTTTACCAGCATGTCAGTATTTTGGATATTGAAACAAATAGTTTAAATTTCAAATGTTTACTTGGAAATTTTACATGAAGCCTGCTGGCTAGCCTCTCCTAGTGGCCTCCTGAAACTGTGCTGTGACTATCTCTTTTTCTTTCTCCGGTTAGCGACGAGCGATTCCTTTAACTATGGGATGTTTTTCGAAATCCTTTCCTCTGGCGCATCTGTAAAATAAATTTAATTTTGTTACTATGGAGGGGTCATCCACCTGGCTTTTCAAATTTTAGACAAACGGACGAAGTCTGCTGATATAATCAAGAGATCCGTCTTAATCGAAGCTGTCAAAGATCAAGGTTGGGTGGAACTGTGAATGTCCGGCCCCTAAGGGCCTATCTATAGCGCACCTGGCAGAAACATGTGACTACCGGACGCAAATCTCCTGTTGCTTTAATTTACAGCATCCGTGAATGCAGCACTACTGTTGTAGACGACATTTCAGATAATTTTACAGAGGAATAAATGGAACTTTCTGCTTTTTGCCCAACAGATAAGTTAACAAAGCTTGCTTGACACATTGATCGCTGATTTACCCAAACGTTTGAGCCGTTTTAACATTCCTTACAAAACTCAGGGTCGGACAGACGGCGACTTGGCGAGCAACTGTTAACAATCTCGTCATAAGTGCCTGTTAAAGCTGGTCACTGTACAAAGATGGAAGGGGACAGAACGTTCATACGCGTCTTGGCCACTATGAAGCGTTAGTTGTGTGCTACCTCTTGTTTACTGTGGGATGCACACCGGTGATTCAATCAGCTAAATAACACGATAACCCTTGCTTTCGTTTTAGCCGACGCTTTGCCATCATGTACCGAGATTCATACCAGGGTGGGCTGCTATCCATATTTTACAGCCTTGGAAGCAATCCCCTAAAGGACTGGAGCCAAAAGGTAAAGCGAAACAAAACGGACGCGTTTAAACTCTGATAGGTCAGCAATGGGCATATAAAACGAGTAACTGATGAAGATATACAGTCTTTCGTCTACGAAATTGTGGGCACAAACGTCAGGTAGGCACAACTTTGTTGTAATTTCTCTAACTTTGTAAACAAACAGCACTGCCTTCCTAAAATGTCCTGCAAATTCCGCACAGACTTTGTCCATACGACTGCCAATTTTGGTGATTGTGCTGAAGAACTTGAAAAAGTATTTTACATTTGAAGTACAGGTATGACTAAATACTTGACATTCTGGTGATATGAGTCAAGATTTTGGATGATCAAAATGTACGACGGAGGTTCAGGGCAAGTACATTCCAGACTATGACACTCGTGAAACCATTCGCATGTACAATGCCGATGAATCTTGACGAAGGCTGGAATCAAGTGCAGTTTGATTTGTGCGAATTCACCCGACGTGCCTACGGAACGGGATTCGTCGAGGTTCTACAAGTTGAAGTGTGTTGAAGATTTGTTTATTTGATGCTTCTTCCTGCTATTGTTTGAAAACAATGAAGTACCAAACCGTTTCTAAATAAGGTACTTTAGTGTTTGATCAAAATGCAAAACTTGTTCCTATCGTTCCACTAAATGTATGGAATTTGGGCAAGTGCTTTATAGGATATCTTGTCGACTCATAGCGTAAGTCTAGTTTTACAGAAAATGTTTGGTTTTCTCATTGGCTTATGGTTTTTGTTCATTTGTGTTACAGTTATCTGATGCACTGACTTATGATTTTTTACTGGTAAACATTGCCCAACTCTTCATTGTCAAAAAATCTCACAGCCAATCTAAGGTCTGATACAATGTTACACTGAGGCCAAAATTGCGATCTTCACAACAATATTTTGGTCCCTAGTTGACCGATCGTTTGTGAAAATCCATCAGTACACAGAGCATTATCAAGTTGACGGAGGGACTATTTAAAGGGAGAAAACTGCATTTGTGAGATTATTTCTTCTACAGTGGTGACGGTTCTGAGAGTGAAGAAAGTAATAAGTGGGTAAGAAAGCGTCTTTCATGAAGAAAGCTTATGCACTAATATTTTTTGGACAGACGCATTTCAAGTGATGGCTTAAGATGCTGTTTTTAGAGAGTAAGAACAGTTGAGGTATGCGCTATACCATTTATTTCTGTAGCCATCCGAATTCACTTGTTCCCCTGGATCTAGTTTTAAAAGTGCACTGTGTTGTAGTGATCTTTAGAATGCTCATTTACCAGTCTTTATGATGGGTACTTATTTATCACATCAGCGTGCAGTCATTAGCTATCGAAAGTACTAAACGATCAATAATTACTATTTCCTGGGTCCTGTATGTGGAACTGAAAATCTGACTCTTGCATAACTCTCCCATAACTTTAAGGTGAAATATTTGGGCTGCTACGCATGTCTTTGAAACGTCAGTGAGACTGAGGAATATTTGGACCAAATTTTATTTGCCACGACAGTTGAACCAAGACATCAATGGGCCGGTATTCTAGCCTGAACAAATAAGCGTCAATGCGTTTGAAGTTCTACCTTCATTTGATAACAGAATGCAGTGTTTTTTTCGTTTAAAGATTACCTTTGCACGGCCTATCTTATCACGTGTGGAAATATTTACTCAGGGCTCAGAAAGTAATCGAAAAACGTTTCTTGGTATAATTTACCAATATGTATATTCTGTTGGCCTAATTTTACACGGATGATAGCTTAAAGAACGGTGAAATTAAATGAATGTATTTCGTTGCACTTGCATTCATTTCATAAGCTTCGCTCAACCTTCTGGGTTTCGAATGTGTGGTTGAAAGGAGAAGGCAAGTATCGATGCGAAGAAGCAACGGAACGAACATTTTGTCTACCGGATAACCTTCGGATTATTTAAGTCTGAGAAATGTATATTTGTTGCCGATAGGAATCGAAAATTTTCCCTCAGAGTAAACTAAACTGATATCATTGGAAAGATCAAACTCGGTATTTTTGAAGCACCGAGAGATAAAGGCATTTTTTGAACTTCAAAACAATATGGGTAAAAAATCAGTGCGTGCTTTTATTAAGACTCTGGAAACCCAACAAAAGTTGTCACTTCCATGCACTCCGTAAGAAATGAACGGCTCAAGATAGCCCAGTGATTACGGGGCGAACCTACTGACCGGTAGGTCCATAATTTGTACTCACACTACGCATTCAGCTGCTTCTGTCTAGGCGTGCGCAAACTAACGGTACCCCAGTTATCGAGCTTTCTTCGGATGGCATGGCAGCTAGGCACTAAAATGTTGCTACTGCTGAACAACAAGAAAAGTCAGCAAGAATTTCTGAGAAGATCGAACAAAAATCAGAGCCCGAAGACCATCTTGTGTGTTAGGATTCTGTCTCTCAAACGAAGTACGGGTATCGAGGTACAGGAACTGATTCAAGCTTACAGGCTGATGCATGCACCAGAAAATATGAAAATACGAAGATCGTCACAGTCACTTCTTTCCACTTGGCTTTGTACACCAAAACGTGCTACCTTTGGATCCCATTTGTGACATTAGGGAACCAAAAAAACGACTAAAACAATCGTATTGTTCACTGGCATGAGAACTGTCCCTGGTGTTTGATGAAAGTGAACGTTCTTTTGTGCTTGTGATAGCGATATTTTACATTGTGTCTCCGGCTGAAGTCTTCAAAGTTTTCTCACACTCTCCTAGATTCTCTCTTTATTTCTGTTGTCTATCATAGCAGTTTCTTATGGCAGCACCAGACATTTGCCAGAATATCCCCTATTGTTTTTTGTGTTTCGAAGCCTTCGGCGTCTAATGGGGCTGTGTGAGAATATAATGCTTTAACTAGATGTTCACAGATGTAAATCTGTGAACAATTTATTTGAGCCATAATTTGCAGATGGATACTAGGTCATAAAACCGGTCCTATATTTTTAGTACACTATTTCATCTCTCGACCAAACTTGCTGTATTTTTTATCAAAACCATAGCAGCTACAATTGTTTATCAAAGTAGACACTTCCAACGATAGGTTACCTGCCCGGACAGCTGGTGAAAACCTACCTGTCTACTGGGATTTAATTGGAAATCTCCCCCCTTCCCCCAAAAAAGCACCAACATAAAGGGGTGAAAACGCCGTTGCAAAAAAGCACCAACATAAAGGGGTGAAAACGCCGTTGTTCCCTGTCTTCTGTAAGATGAGGGCAATATATAGTATTTTGTGTTCAGCTAGCATGGCTGCCCTAATCGATAATTAAGCCTGCAGTGATTGGATCTTATCCAGAATTGTCATGGACAGTGAAACACAGTGTTCAAAGGGTTAGTCACGGATTCGGCCGACGTTTATATCATGGTATCCCTGAACAGCGCTGCTCCAACTGTTTTTTCTTTAAATTTATCAATCAGCTGATCTGAGGGACACGAATTACGAGCATGGCTATCTTTTGCTCATCATAACAGAGAAGGGCGTTTCCGGTTAATCATATCTTTTGCTACTTAATAAACGTAACGCCACACCTACAAATAATAGCCTTTCACCGATTGTACGGGGCTACTGATTTGGGATGAACAATTTTCTTGCTCTCAGTTGTCTTTAGGTCAATCGGAACCAAGAGCACTCACTGGTGGTGTTAGCTGTTGATGGCCATCAGAAGCATCGAGCAATTTTATCTTGTCAGGCGTTCCATACACTGGTCTGACTCTGTGGTCTACATTGTGGCAAACAGCCAAACAATATCACTTACTATTATCGATTAAGTTGAACTCCATAAAGATTTGCTGTCTAATCTTATTATGAAGCCTTCTGGTCGAGATCCGAATAAAATTCAAGTGGTATGTTGTGACTCTAAATTTATTTTCCCTGTAGGAGCGTCGCCGAAAACTCAAGATCTGAATGTTCTTGGCCGTCTTTGTCGTGTTACCTTCTCATCCGTTGTGCTCCGTGTGATATGGATACTTTCTGGCAACTTGTGCCCAGTTTGATTGGATCATAGTCACTGCAAATCACAAGTTCACCTTTCACACCCTGCATTCAACGCGCGTTGTATGAGCCTTGAGGCACTAGATAACATTTAAAATGAGTCACAGTATCGGACGTAGACAGATTTATTGGCTTCAGGCCAAAGCAACAAACTAGCCGCTGAGCCAAAGCTCCGTTGGACTGCCTAAACAACACAAAACTTTAGCTCATTCCAAGCATTCATTTGATGCTTACAACAGCAAAAAGTTCTCCCTTGTTCCTTTTAATTTCTCAAACGACCCACCAGTGTTAGATTCTTCTACGATACTTCTATCTTAATCTTTGGCTTTCGAGATGGCTATTTAGAACGTCATGACAAAAGATGAACAGGGACTTACTGGATGGGAAACGGACCACGTTTTTCAAAAGAAGCACAAAAATCTGTAGGATTTATATTTAGAGGTGCAACATATACATCAGCTACCATACGGATTGTACTTTCTTACGTCGAGGGCTTGAAATACAACGGGATACCAAACAGGTATTTTAAGCCAGTCGTGTTCGTTTATGTGAGTATATATATTTTGACGGCAAATCGTTACTTTCCTCTCAGTTAGACAGGATAATATCCTAGACTGATTTCCACTTTTCAGAAGCTCATACCAACAAATTTCATTCATTAATCTCCTTGCTATCCTGGAAATTTTTGGGTCATTAATCTGTATTACAGAGGTCTCCGTGTCCGTTTAAAGGGACCATTTGAAATGATGCATTGTAGACTCATCTGATTCACATTCAGTCGCGTTGTTTTCAGTCGTTTGTACGATGAAGTGAAACCAAAGTTCCAGTTCGGACGTATTTTTGTTCCATCGAACTGCGGGATAAGTGCGCAAACAAAAGTCTCTGCAAATAGAAATTTCCAAGTTTTCTCAAAACCAACCCAAGAATTTGTGAAATTTTCGCGGTATGCATAGACTGAGGTGCGGTTTGAAAAGAGGCACTGATGAATGCGACAGGTAATCAGGGTTTGATAAACTGTTTTGTGACATAAATGTGCTCTGTGCTTAATGAAATCTAAAAACACGGACGTTTTCTATCTACGCCTTTTCGATACACATTTGTTTGCGTAGCGAGTATAGCACAACGATACACAGTGTTAGATCCACACAGTAATGCATTTTTTTCAGAAAAAAAAACGAAGACAATATCTACTTTAACTATACCATATTGCAAGCCCAACTAATCGCAACTAAATTTCCTTCTCTAGATTCACGCAAATTGTCGATTGAGACGCGTCTACTTCTGCGATCGAATGTACAGCGAAGAGGAGTTACCAAGAGAATATAAGCTATACTTGCCTATTCGTGCTTCATCCACACCAAGAATCTAGTTCTCGTTAGGTTCACTCACAAGCATTTCACATATTCATCTACGGTATCCCACGTGCCTATTTTTCACTGTTGGATAATTTGTATAAGATTGTCTTATTCAAATACACACCTGTTTTTTGTTTTCGAGTTCACCTCAAATTGCGCATTGAGACTGACCGGATGATTTTCATGCGCTCCCCTATTTTCAGGTGTTTTTTCCTACTTTGACCACGACATGACAATTTTGCTTTATGACCTTCATGTCTCACTTCCTAAACCCATCGTTTGTACGCCGCCATTTTGAAAACATTGAATAGCTTCATCACCATCTTTGTTGACGTCACCAAGAACTGATGTAACACATTTCTTCCTAAATGGCTGTGGTCATGAAATCGTTCCTCGCTGTCAGATGTCAGTTCAGAACTTCGTTGTGGTACAGTTGTTTGTATTTATACGAGTCCCCTTGTTGACTACCTGCCTTTCTGAGTATCAGCTTAGCTCTTAGACGTTTAGTTTGTGCAGGCAGCCGGAAGCTAGTCATCGTGAACATACTTTCTCCCCAAGTTTGTTTGCATTGTGAAAGAGCAAGATACAAGAAAATGCCCCGTCGGTAGATGGTTGGTGCTATCAGAAAACCCTGTAATTTGTAAAATATTGCGCGGAATGGATACCTGAGGTTGCTATTTTCTTTGGTGCCGCACACCTGTGGCATTCTGCGATAAGGTCGAGTACAGAAGCCTTTTTGGGTAACTTTGCGTTTAAACCGATCATAATAGATGTGATTTTTTTCCGCACACATGTGTCACCTACATTTTCCTATGTCGTTATTTTGATTTGTGTGCCAGTATGCTTTGGGGCAGTTAGCAGCATACCATCAGTTTAGCTTCCTCAGCTCAGTCATTTGGGTTGAACTTTTCCCTCAATGTAACTGCTTCCGTGGGACAGAAGTGAGCTGACGAGAAGTCATTGTTTCCACGGTGGTAACTAAGGTTATTCAGCGTAACTATGTTGATACCCGTTGGTTTGTTCTTATCTAGGCTAACCAACAACTGACCTGGATTCACGTGATGAACTTCAATTCCTTCGTTGTCATAGAAGCAGTGGGGCTAACCTTCAGATTGAGGTTTTTGTGTATTTTCCTGAACAAATCGAGTAGCGGTAAGATACTTGAGTTTTTGTCGCAGATGAAGGTACAAATATGCCAGTGTTACACATTTAAACCAGGAGGGATGGAATAACTATTCACCATAGTTGTCGCACACTTCCACCGAGATAAATCACTGGAAAGATTTTGAGATAAAGCTTAAAAACATCATAAATTAGGGATTCGACCGGATTCCACGTGAGTCTCCCGTCAAAACCAAATTCATATAGTGTGTATTCGGCCAAGCATGTCCATTTTGGGTTCAAACAGAACATAAGGTTGACGGAAACTTGGAGGCTGCGCCTACTTGATGAAATCCAAGAAGGGTGAAACTTGTCATGGGCTGTCAGTTTTCTGCCTGCAACATTATGAGTAGCGGAATACGTCCATATAAAACCGGTAGTTCTAGTCAGTTAAAATGATTTAGCTACTGTATATCTTCATCTGCCATGAATAAGTTTGTCCATATCCAAAGTTATCTTGTTATATTTAAAGCAATGCTCATCTAGTGAATGATTTTCTGCTTCATTTGTTCAGTTCACGACCGGTTTTGCGCTAAAAATGCTCTAATTGACGGTGAAATCTTTCGTTATATTCTGAAACAGATTTATTGGTTGTTGATCAGGTGGCTGTTGATCTGTTCGCCGAGCTTGGCAATTGGCTTGCAAACGTTTCGTCACCATACGAGGGAACACCACCAGTGCGCAGTTGAGTGAAACAGATTTGTCAAAAAAGCCCTCCAAAAGAGAGCAAAATTTAAGGTGATTACACTTAGGGCCGATTAATTACCAGTGGAAATATTTGTCTTGTTGCCATAACTGCTTCTCAGGCCGGATACGTCTGGTGTAGTGTTCAAGGTAACTGAGAACCAAAAATTTTCCAAGCGATTCATTGACATATATAATTGCCTCTCACATAATTCTGCTTACTGAGTAAACCTCAGCTAATAGAGGGTATGAGGCCTTTCCTTGGTATCATAACTACTCACACTATACAAAGTAGTACAGAGAGATTTGAAAGGCTTGTTCTAGAAGCAGACTATCGGATGAAGGTACAAATATGCCAGTATTGCACATTTAAACCAGGAGGGATGGAATAAATATTCACCATAGTTGTCGCACACTTCCACCGAGATAAATCACTGGAAAGATTTTGAGATAAAGCTTAAAAACATCATAAATTAGGGATTCGACCGGATTCCACGTGAGTCTCCCGTCAAAACCAAATTCATATAGTGTGTATTCGGCTAAGCATGTCCATTTTGGGTTCAAACAGAACATAAGGTTGACGGAAACTTGGAGGCTGCGCCTACTTGATGAAATCCAAGAAGGGTGAAACTTGTCATGGGCTGTCGAAGAGTTTTCTGCAACATTATGAGTAGCGGAATACGTCCATATAAAACCGGTAGTTCTAGTCAGTTAAAATGATTTAGCTACTGTATATCTTCATCTGCCATGAATAAGTTTGTCCATATCCAAAGTTATCTTGTTATATTTAAAGCAATGCTCATCTAGTGAATGATTTTCTGCTTCATTTGTTCAGTTCACGACCGGTTTTGCGTTAAAAATGCTCTAATTGACGGTGAAATCTTTCGTTATATTCTGAAACAGATTTATTGGTTGTTGATCAGGTGGCTGTTGATCTTTTCGCGAGCTTGGCAAATTGGCTTGCAAACGTTTCGTCACCATACGAGGGAACACCACCAGTGCGCAGTTGAGTGAAACAGATTTGTCAAAAAAGCCCTCCAAAAGAGAGCAAAATTTAAGGTGATTACACTTAGGGCCGATTAATTACCAGTGGAAATATTTGTCTTGTTGCCATAACTGCTTCTCAGGCCGGATACGTCTGGTGTAGTGTTCAAGGTAACTGAGAACCAAAAATTTTCCAAGCGATTCATTGACATATATAATTGCCTCTCACATAATTCTGCTTACTGAGTAAACCTCAGCTAATAGAGGGTATGAGGCCTTTCCTTGGTATCATAACTACTCACACTATACAAAGTAGTACAGAGAGATTTGAAAGGCTTGTTCTAGAAGCAGACTATCGGAAAGGTACTTGTAGATAGTGGATAATAACTCAAGAATCACACAATTGTCAAAGGATGTTGGCTTCTTATTCTTGGACTGCGTGGAATCCTTGCGCAGGTGCAAAGCGCTGTGTATCTTTTCGAAATAACACTACTATTTCGGCTGTGTGCCTCGATTATGACGTACTAGTGAACTCAAAGTATCTGGATAGTGTGGGTTTTTCAAGTGGATACAGGTGAAATCAGCAACACGCCTCAACTGTATCTCAAATTTTTCTAAAGTCGCTACTATTGTCAAATGGTCTAAAGTCTCGATTTCGCATTTTGAAACTCGACTTCTCTTAACTGACAGGCACTGACGATGAGACTCTGAACCTAACAGCTGCGTTTTCTCGCATGTGACGTTTTATAGCACCGTAGTGATGTAGGTAATCGGCGATAAACTGTATGAAAAACCACTCTCATCTGCTGTGGTTGGAACGGTATCTCGTGCCTCAAAAGTCCATTTTGTGGCTTGTGGTAGACCAGCGTGAATGGCTGCGTAATTTGACAAAACAATCTTCTTTCGCAACCTTCATTCTCAGGTTGCGACTAAATGGCTAAATTCCTGGTATAATTTCCTGTATGCTTGTGATGCTGCCGGTTTTTCACTGTCATCATCATCAGAAGCAGCAATACCTTTGTTGACACTCATGAACAGGGATGTATTGATTTTGGGATTATTGCTGTCGCTGTAGTTGTTGTTGTGCCTGTTATTGCTGTTCTTAAAGTAACGCCAAACCGCACATCAGTGCAAATATCACAAAAATTACGGACGCTTGGCAAATTTCGCCTCCCAAATTGTTGGCTCATCAGTCCGCGACTTCAAACCATCATCCAAAAACGCTTTCATTGTTCACTTCAGGTTTTTTGATGCAGTTGAATTTCGTAAGGGCTTGCCACTAGTCAGTTAAATTGTGTTGATCAAGTGTTGATCAAAGTTCTAAAAAATGTCATGCCTAGGTATGTTTAGGCCGGACTCATTGAGTAAAGTATATTCGTGGATGCTAGGTTGTATTAGGGCCTTCGGTGCACCTGGAAAATGTTCATTGTCCTCATGGCTATTTTTATATCTCCCGGGATCAAAATCAAACAATGCGCTATCTATAGAGTAAAATGTCGGTAGCTCAGGTAGCGTAGACGGTCGTTGGCTTGTTTGCTGAGCTGGGCAATTTGATTGCAAACGTTTCATCACCAATCGAGGTGACGTCATCAGTGCGTTATTGGGGAGCATAGTAGCGATGGGCTAGTGGTTGTGCCAAATGCGCTTTCATATTATTTTTAATATTATTTTAATGTATTAATATTGGTGTTATTATTAATACTATTTTAATATTATTCATTTTGAACTCACTGACAGGAAAACAAAAAAGTTAGAAACATTGCACAGGATATGGGATAACCACAGCAAACGATTTCTTTCTTTTCAACATCTGATGCGTCTTTAGATAACAACATATCAACATCTGATGCGGCTTTAGATAAGAACATAATTTCGTAGTCCAGCAAAATAAGTAGGTTTGATTTAAGGAATATTAGCTTTTTGAATACTTATTTTCCTAATAAAATCCAGTTATATAGAGCAAGTGATTATCCATTTAGCAGTTTCACAAAACTGCGCCCCCAGTGACCCTCTTACAGAGCCCGGAGAATTCAGTTGGTAGCGTAACTTTCGTTCGTTTGTTTTTTTCGAACAACAAGGTTTTTAGAGTGCTTTACCAAATTTCGGCCCTTCAACTCTGTCTACACGCATCCGACCAGTCGCAATACGGACTAAGGCCGCTGTGTGATCAAGCTTTTAAGACCCGTTCTACGTTTTTCCGGCAGAGTTTGAGGTTCTTGGATGACCGGCAAAGAAAGCTAGGTGAAATTAATCGGATCATAATCGGAAAGGTTATACAAAGAGCGCGGTGGGTAGAACAATAAGGCGGACTGAGCAATTCAATTGCCTGGAATATCTGAATGTTCTCGGTTTAAGAAAAGTTTTGCCATCTGTCATTAACGTCTGTACTGCCACACCGTAAGAGTATGGCTCATTGAGCGGAAGAATCTACGGTTTACTGAAGTCACATCGTCTATCATCAGAGACTAATGTGACACCTTCTTTTGGGAAACAGAAAGCTATTAT